CTCCAACGCAGGGCTTGAGACGGCCTTCTTGATCTCGGCCATGAAGTCCTCGGGGATCTTTTCGTGGCGGTATTCGGTACCGTACCACTTCTCCTTCTGATTCCAGTCACCGGGAAACTTTTGTGACACAATAGTCATACGGAAGTTGTCTGGTCTCAAGCACGCCAAGGCCTTTTCGATCAAACCAGAATCAAACTTCCTCAACCGACTGTATCCGCTGAGTAGCCATTCCCGCGGAAGAGGCTTCTGCATGACAGAGCTGATCTTGCTCGTGAATCGGCTTGCTGGAGTCTTTTGCTTGAATTTGAAGTCGACATCGGCCATGCCCTTCTGTTCGTCAAAGATCCATTCCTGGGGTGGCGCCTCCTGGAGAAGCGCAACATATTGGAAGAAGACCTTGACAATCTCCTTGTAGTTTTTGAGACCCTGTAGCGTACGTCAGCATTCGAAGTGGGGGAGTGTCAAAGTGGTGGTCATCTCATTGCAGGGCTTACCTCCTCTGTCAGGCGAATCTGACAGTCGAAAATACCAGGAGAACCCGGACAGACGGGGTAAGCACCGGCACTCAAGCCATTGGCCCAGCCCTTTTCCTTGACGTAGGCCATGATGCTACCAGGGCCCTCGTGACCGATCAGGTGGCTCACGTAGCGACTGGGTTGCGACTCGTACATCTTTTCCTCGTCGAGGAAAGGGAAGAAGAGGTTCAGCTCGCGAGAGTCCATGACAGGCTTAGCAAAGACTTGCATACCCAGCTCACTCTCGCGGAAGGGCACCTCAGCCTCCCACCTATTGGGCGCTAGGTCCTTGTTGGGAACTCCGGAGAAGAACTCGGCAACCCATGTCTCGAGAACATCCAAAGGCTCTCTTCCCAGAACCACCAACTTCATACGGTTTGCCGAGTAGTGCTTGTCGTGAAACTCCATAAACTTTGCGCGGACATTAACACCCTTGGACTCTGGATCTTCCTTGAGAACCTCGAGATTGCCGGTCGAGAAGTGGCAAAATGGATGCTTCGGGTTGGAAAGAGACTTCTCCAGCTGGTGGAGTCGCCATTGGTCATTCTGCAGGTTCTTCTTGTTTTCCGAGTCCACCGCGCGCAGCTCACGATCGAGGGTCGACTCGAGGAACAGGGGCTCAATGAAGAATTGCGCAAAGCGATCGAGTGCTCCCTTAAAGGGCGAGGGGTTCTCGGCTGTTGGCTCCCGATCGTTGGCAGGCTTTGCAGAGACGTCGAAGAAGTAGTTAGTCGAGGTTGCGCCAGTGTAAGCGTTGGAGCTGCCCGAGTTGTTGGAGAGGTACTGCGAGTATTCGTTTTCTATGGGAAACTTCTTGGTACCCATGAACAGTAACTGCGCATGCAAGTGTCAGCGTGACGGAGAGCGGAAAAGAGGTCGAGCGTGCGGATAGGGAGATTCTATGTCTAGGCAGAGTCTCGGGGAGGGGGCCGTACATGTTCGACGGCGTGGGCCATTCCTGGCATTTCCTCCTCGTCGCTGAAGTTTCCAACATTGCAGTCTAGGGCGGCGCTGGCCTTGTCCGTCTCCGGGTCATGTACCAGCAGGGCCTCGAGCTTGTTGGACAACCTCACGACTCGGTAGGTCCGATCGTCGAGGGAGGGGGTCTCGAGGTGATCCGTCACCCGTTCGACGGATTGGGGCCCAGGCTCGCGGTGAGGTATAGCTGAGCCGGCCGGAAGCCCGGCGGCAGCGGTATCGGTGTTGGGCATGGCAACGATCTGTTTGCCGTGATTTATGTGAGATGAGATGGTGGGTTTGCTACTGATGGAGCGGGAGGTTGTATAAGAACGGAACGAGATGGTGGTGTAGGTGGGCGACTTTTCAGAGCAGAAGGTACGGCACGGGGCTGCAGCAAGACGGTTCGGGAGACGACTGCTGATGGCCTGGCACGTTGTAAGAGACAAAAGCTCAGGGCGTGTATCCTTAGTGGGGGAGGAACGCCACTTGTGAAGTAAGAGAGAGAGGGACAGGGACGTGGACGTGGACGCGGACGTGGATGATGTCGGGCGGTTGTGGATTTGTCGCAGGCTCTGGCGCGGGCTCAGGTTGGAGGCTACGGGACGCAACATGCAGCAGATGCAGCCAGGACGGGAGAACTGGAGAAATAGAGAGAGCAAGGTAAGGTGAGTTAGGGCTGAGGGGTAAAATATGCAAACAAGTCGAAAAGAAGAAGAAAGAAGGAAGAAAAAAAGGAGCTGCAAATAGGAGGCGGTATGTAGAGAGTATGTAGGTAAGGTAAGGTACGGATGGATACAAGTCGGTTGGTTTGTTGGTGCGAGTGCGAGTGAGTGAAAAGTGTCAAGACTCAAACCTGGAGGTACAAGTAAGAATACCTTGGGTAACTGAGGTACGCTACCTTGCGTAGGCAACGCAACACAGTCAGTGGAGGTACTTTAGCCGTGGGACCGGGGATGGGGACGGAGTACCTCAGCAGTCAGTTGCAGTCAGTCGCAATCGCAGAGGACCAAAGATGGGAGAGGATGAGGGGAGTTGCGACTGGGGGCGGCCGGGAAGATGCTGGCGGGTTGGCTTGCTGTGCGTGCAGTGCGTGCAGCGCAGATGCAGGCGGGGGGAGCAACGAGAACCTACCTTAAGCAGGTGCAGTGGATGTGCAGCTAAGGTGCAGGGAATCGGAAGGAAAGAACGGAAACGTTTGGCGCAAGTTGCGCCTTCCAATGACACAGGGCATCCACTGTTAGCACTCGCCGCAACTTACAATGGAACAGCGCTGACCGGTGTGCAGGCACCCAGGCAGTGACCAGTCAGCAAGACTTCCAGTACTTTCGAGGGTCCAGTCTAGGTACCATACTATGTAGGTACTTGAGCTGGGTGGAAGGAGGGGAGGGGCCCACCGGGGGGAGAAGAAAGCGAGGCGAGATGGGGGAAAGACTCGAAGAAATCTGTCTTTCGAGCTACTGCTACTGCTACAGACGACACCTCACATCTCACTCATCTGACGCGAATGATGCGACGACTCATGCCGACTGGGCAGCGGCGACAAGTGAATGGACAGGCCACAACTACATGCAACAGCAGTTACAACTGACAAGCAAGCAGAACGAGCATCCCCAAGACTGAGCAAACACAACCTCAAGGCTCACCATGAAGCACACTACCACTACCAACACCAACACCAACACCACCATCACCGCCGCCACCGGCAATCTCAGATTCAGAACCAAAGAAAGGGACCGTGCCCACTTACCTGTGGAGACGCAGGGCGACGCCACGACGCTACCGCCGTACGACCCAAGGTACCGACCAGACGGACTCTGGAAGCCATGGACGGAAGCGGACACTCTGCTTGCTGATCTTTGAGTCTGGGCAAACCCGGCAAACCAGCCTACGGTTATAGTATGCTGCTCTGCTGGGAAGGTAGCACTCGTCAGTCAGACCTACCTACTTCGCCAGGCAGGTAGGCTTGCGTAAGGTATCATGGCGGCAGTGGCAGCGGCAGCGGCAGTCCATTGTCCAGTGGTTGCAGTCACTCACCATCGTCTCCGCTTCCGCCTCCGCCTTACCTTTTGACCTGATATTCGGTTCGCCGTGACGGAACCGCGGTTCTAGCTGGAGAATAGCATGGAAAAGCCGGAGAAGACGGCTCCAGCGGGATCATGTTTACAAGGTGCGACAACCGAGCTGATGCTGGTGGTGCTACTGGGTTGGCGTTGTTGCAACAAATGTGCTGGGCTCATTTTTTGCTACAGCTGAATGATTTGATAACATGATGTTGATGACGGCTTGTTGATGGAGACTGCGGAAGACCCGAAGGTGTGGGCTGCCGTCTCTGAAACATCCGCCTACTGCCGTTCCCGTTCCGTCTACCACTGTCGAGGTATCCAAGGTGCGAAGATGGGCGGGCAAGGCGGGATCTTTGGAAAGCTGGAATGTTCTGAGCCCATTACCCTAGGAACGTATCCGTAATCAATGCCGCTCGCAAAGCTGACGCAAAGCCCCTGCTTGATCCCATGGCCTAATCGCATTCCTCCTGGATTCGGGCGCGGGATGTGCTCAGGTTCAGCTGTACCAGTAGCTGGCTGTGAAGCATGACATCTGATATATGTGTCAGACCTATTGTCGGGCCTTTGACTTACATCCCCGTCATCTGCCCTCTTGGCAGCAAAAAGACGAGAAATACGAGAGTCATTTCAGACAAGAGATCAACATGGACGCGTCCAGTTGGAACTGTTCCTGAGTAGGAAGCCGTGAAAGCCTCAATTCCATCACACCCTCCCTCTTGGGGTATTATGGCCTTGTCGCTGGGTTACCCCAGCCGCCTATGGCTCCACGTGGGAAAAGAGGCGGTTGTCAGGTCCCTTTGAAACGAGGCACACACAGTTGTTCAGCGAGAAAAGCCAGCGCAGCTGATTAATGGCACACAAGGAGCCAGCAACCCAGTGCTATATGAGCCGCATCTTAATTTTAGAGGTTGGAGAGTGGAAAAGACACAAACATCGGTCTCCATATCCGTACACCAGAATGTAGGATGCAACTACTAGGCCCAGTGCAGCTACTGCGCAAAGGCCCAGTAGTCAGTCCCCTAACCCCCTGGTGCCCAGGCTGCAAAGCAATGTCGCCGTCTTTGGGTTGCAGGACGGCAAAGTCTTGCGTCGGTCATCGGGTGGCTTGCTTCCAATGATTTCGCGTCTTATCCCTCTTTCACCTACCCAACTACGGTAGGGCAAGCGTGGCCATCCCAATTTCGCCGCGGGTCTTTGGCGGTGGTGGGATCATTTGATATCGAAACCGAATGATATCGACAATCCCTTGGGGGTATCTTTTGGGCCTGTGGACGCAGGGCGGCGGGAGCGGACCGGCCTGGGGAAATAAGGGACGGGCGGCGACAAGGGTGACCTTTGAGCTGCCGCGGCACCGCGGTCACCGGTGTAACTATCGAGCAATGCTGTACGGATACAGGGGTCGTTTTTGGGTTATTCTTTCCAACATGCCGACCACCGCCCTCTCGATATTGACTGGTTGCTGTTACGAATACTGCTGCTCGCCTCGTTGAGGTTGTCTTCTGTTGGGGGTCACTTGATGATCTTGCTCTCGCTCTACCGTGGTTCGCCGAAGGCTTCTTCTGCAGAAGAAGCAATGGGCGCGGGTGGTAAACTCGGGCTGGCCCGCTGTCTCTGGTAATTTCCCCTGATAATCTGTTCTCGCCCTGCGGTCGATTTTGTTCTTTCTTGTTCTCGATCCCACCCTCCTCGGCCAAGGTGCCATTCGGATGTCGACCGTTGCGCGGGATGGGAAAGTTGATGCTCAAATGCAAGAATACGTGGCGATGTTAGGGGTACAGATTGTCCGGCCGGGCTACGGAGTACTCCTAGAAAGCCTCGCAAAAGGGACCATGGTCCATGTTTCTGAGGTTCTCCCTTCCCCTGTTAAATCTCGTCAGCCCCAGTTGGGTTTGTTGGCTGATGAGCAAAGATCAAGGGCAAGGCGGTGACAAGGGAAACAGAGCCCCTGTGCCCGTAGTCGGATGTAGCAGTTTTCGGGTGCCAATCGCCGAAGAAGAAAAACTGACGACAGGCGGACAGGGGGTGGGCATGCGAATGTTTCGCCGTTCGGGGAGAAAACGTACAACCCCCCTTGTCTTGCGTCTTTCCCGGCAATCTGGTTGCGTTTTTGGGTTCGCAGGGCCGTCAGCACCGTTCGGAGTACTGCTAAACACCTAGGAAAGCTCAGACTTGGTTGGCTCGCGGCGATGTCAACTTGAAAGTACTAGAGCCCGAACAACGTCGAGATAAGCAAAACTGCGCGGGTTGTAAGCAACTTGCAAAGTAATAAGTCCAGCTCGTCGGTTTATCCTTCCATCAGGGGTCGGCAACTTACAGTCATGGTTCAAGATCCCATGTTCCATACCCATGAAGCTCCAAACTTGGATCGCCAGGACTGTTTGTTGGGAATGCTCAAGCCAGTATCGTGTAATACTGCTGTCAGCACCACCTAGGTCAACGTGATATTCCTCGTCAACCCAATCGCCCACACCAGGCAAGGGCCCACCGTGGGAGACCATACCAGTATCCTGCGGACATTGTGCATGGATGGAGCCATCGTGGTGGTGTGGTGCTGCTGTTCGCATTGGACGAACCTAGTCTGCCACACTATCTTGCTCACATGCTTCATAGGATACATAAGAGGCGATCGCCTGGATCTATTGGTATGACAATCCACAATCACTCACATCTCGACTGGAGCAACAGATACCAGCACACGTGTGCCATGAGAGCCTTGACAGATTAGTGAGCATTCGCTATGCAGCCTCAAACTGTGGGCGGCGATTCGGATTCGATCCGCCTGGCGGGATGCCATGCCGCTCCCATGCATGGCCGACTGGATTTCTCGGCATAGTAGTCGTTCTGGCCGGTTTTGACAGATAGCAGACATGGCGTTGATTGTTGATGTTATATCGACCCTACAGCCTCCCCACCTGCATCGTTTGTAGGGAATCTGAACTTTACGGGTATCCTGATCGCGCAACCCACATTCCGTGTTGATACCGACACGTTAATATGGGATCGTCAAAACAGAAGCTGTAAGTATTCGTACTGTGCAGGTTCAATAATCTTCCCCGTGCCTCAAGCAAGCGATCCGCGGGTGGCCAAACAAGCTGTGTTCAGAAATCCACAGAAGTCGAAACTGCATACCATCCATGATCAGTGTCCGCTAACAGAAACAGACCATGTAACCATGGCCCCGCCCTCGCTTCCACGAGTGAGTCTTCCACAGCTGTGCTGACCATCAAACCTTATGGGCGCCAATGACTTTGAGATCCCCCGTTTCCATAACCGATTCGTTGCACTTCTCCGGATGACAGTAAAGGCGAGCTGAGCGAACTGGCGGGCGTCGGACGTAACTCCGAGGGCAGTCGATTCGACCAAGCCGTCCATTGTTTCTCGGTACGGATACTCAAGTGCGCGAGTACATCTTCTGGTCCGTCGTTCTGGATCGGCGAGTCATTCCGTCTTCCCGGGCGCCCACTTTGGGTATTTGTTGAACCCGCAACGAGCACAACCCGGCTTGTCCCTCTTGCAGACCGCCGCCCGTCAATAACTGACCGCTGCTGAACCATGTCACCTTTTACTCCTCTCCTCACGTCTGACGTTGAGTCCCTCTTCTCAACCCCTCTTCACTGCGAAAATAATAATGCCCGGTCGCCTAGTTCCCAAGCAAGTGTGCGGCTGCGCTATCCACAATAGGGAGATACGGCCGTCCCTTGTCCAGGTCTGACGATATTCCACACATTCGGACCTAGGTACCCAGGTACCTTGCGGGGATGTTGGACTACCATCATCTCCTCGCCCTCTAAGCCCGGCCTGTCATGACGATCGCGACCCGAACTTGGTTTCGCAAAGGTGAACAGTTATGAACGAGTTTGAGGAACCTCGAGCAGAGCCGATTCGAGGTTTGTAGTTCAAAATACGGAGAGCTGCAGCCGCTGCTATAACCAGAGTGGTTGGTTGACAAGCGACTGCGTCCGGGTGTTCTACATCAAGTCAAAATTGAACGGCATTGGGCCAAAAGAAACCTCCCTCCTCTCGCCGTTGTCCCTCTCAAAGTGGCAACCCTAAAGAGGCCGAGTTTCTAGCCCTGGCTATGATAACGGTCGTTAACTGCAACTTGGATTGCAACCTGTACTAAGGTTTCCGCCGTTTCAGTGGCACTTGACCATCGAGCTGATTTGCCGATCAAGATCCTTTGCATCAGTTTAGCATCAAGTAGATGTATATTTCCAAGCCGTGATTGTCCATATGCAGCGACAGTGTTTTCCATACTTTGCGATGGGGATTACCATTCGACACCAATGTTACGAAAATGGCTTCTGGGGACTCAAGCGTTGACTTTTTGCGACGATCAGCGTGTCCATAACACGATAATGGCTCTCAAGGAGGGTCGCAGCTATGGCTGGGTCACCAGCGGCATATCCTTGGAGTACCCTACACAGCAGATGTAAGCTTGTTTATGCGATAATAACATGATCCCGCGATCCCTTAGTACATGAGATTCGGTAGAGAAGAGATGGAGAGTTTTTGCGGGCGAAAGCTTGTCACCCCACCATCCAAAGTGCGAGTGTCCCGGGGCGCCGGCTGGTAACCCCCAGAGTTCCCGCTGTGCCATTTTGGGTGCGCCGCTTTGAACCACGTAGGAGATCGACATCTCACACGCGGGCTTCTCTCCCGTGTCCGAGGAGGCTAAGAAACGAAAGGTCGGCCGATGCATTAGATTCTCATCGAGATGTAGGAAAACGTGTCGACAGGGCTTCTGTTCGCCTCATCATCGGCAGTTGTGGTTGTTTTGCCCGGCTGCCATCCCCAAAAGACGATTGACGAAGTGGGCAGATTGTGTTCCAAGCCGGGCAAACGCGCCTGTTCCGCGGACCTTGATTTCTTGTCAGTATATGTGCAGACGGTAAGGCAGCTGTGTGTAGCCTGGTGCCTGGCTCAGGAGACAGCTCATGCCGTCTATCATTCAAGTTGATCAGCTTCTGAAGCTCAAGACGTTTAGATCAAACAGACCGAGCCAGTTCGTTGGCACCAAGGCCATTGTTCGGCCATATTCCATGCGCGAAAACAGGAGATTGGGTTGGTGGTCATTTCTTTTCCATTCAGGTTGCCGGTCCATGTCGGGCTTTCGTAGCCCGGCGCGGGAGGCAGTGCGTATCTACGTGTTGCATTGATCGAATGTCTGCGCAGCAGGATTCTTCTGTCAATTCCATAACCCATTTCCTCCGTGATCTCTCGCAAGGCGAGAGCCCGCTGTAGGATCGACACAAAATTTGCTCCTATTTCGCGAAGCCGGAATAGAAGAACCGGTCAGCAAGCCAAATCCGGGCACGAGGGGTATCTTGAAAATAAAAAAGCACGCTTGGTAAGACAGAGGTTCATCGTGATCTATCAAACGACTTCCGCTTGCCTCCTCGTCGCTGTGGGCAGTCGGCGGCCCTGTGCCCCGGCTTGTTGCAGTTGTGGCAGTTGAAGGGCGCGTTCGGTTTTCCTGCTCCGGAGAAGCCGCCTGTAGCACCGCCGGAGATAGATGCCAGCTTATTTAATTTGACTTCCTTCTTCATTCTCTTCTCCCGGAATTCCTTGGCCTTCATAGACTCGCTTGATTTCTTCGCTTGTAGATTGACCCTTGTGCGCCCCTGGCCGCCAGACGCGAGGCCTTTTACGGCTTTCGGGGGTGTTTTTATCGAAGCATCTTCGTCGCTTGAGGAGGCTTCATCTTCGTCACTGGATTCATTACTGGAGTCGTCGGAATCGCTAGAGCCCTCGGAGTCGCTCGACTCCGGCTTCGTCTTTTTGGGTGTCTCCTTCTTGGCATCCTGACATGAGTTAGCTAGGTTATTGCAAGACCTATGGTTTTGGCATTACCTTGGTAGCCTTCTTTCTGCTGCTTTCAATTTTCATCCTCCCAACCTGTGCAGTAGCAGTGGCTGCAGCTTCCTCCTCTCCATCGGCAACATCGATATCCGCGTATCCTACATAGACAATGTTCGGCGGCGCATTCTCTGTCTCGGTGGACTTGCCCCAAGCACCATCAAGAACCCAGTGCGTGTCTGCAAGCTCTGCTCTAGACGCCTCTAATGCCGACAAGCGCTTAGCTTCTTGTTGCTTCAGAGCCGCCTGAACGGCTGTTTGATCGAAGGAGTGAAAGTCGCCGGTGAGGGGCGAGTTTTGGAACTTGCGCCGCTTAGATGAGGGCTCTTCGGGAGAAGGTTCCGGCGTAGCATCCGAGGCAGCAGCTCTTTGCATGAACTTCATCGTCAACAGACGAGAGGATATACCTCTACCCGGAGGTGTTTCGGGGACCATGTTGGTGCTCGGCGGCATTATGGCAATCTGATTCGGAGTTCGATAAGATTAGTTGGGATACAAATGAGTATAACGTGACAATTTTAATTGTTCAACGAGTGTTAGAGTCCAAGGATCGTGCTTCTGGGCTGTGTCGGGAGTCAAGAGTAGTATGGTGAAGTTAGGTTGGGCTGTGGTACCCAAAAGTTGGAAAGAACCAAATTCTGGTATTCTGCCGTGGTACATGCAAATGCGCGGCCACACCGCCCGCATCACACGTCTGGTCCGTGCACATAACTTCATGGGACCCCGCCGTGCCTGCTTCAACTTTCTCAAGTACGAACATATAAACCGAAAGTAAGGTAGTTGAGATTCTTTGAACCTTCCTCAGAGAATTCTCGCTGTCTTGGCCTCACGTCTCTGATTCTC